TTCCGGCTTTCTCTTCGGGCCATGGTAGTGAGAGATAATGTATGTAAAACAAATAAAAATGGTTAAAAGGCTCCTATTATCGATAGTCAGTATCTTCTTGAAACACAGCTATTGATAATCAATGAATCACATGTGTCACAGTTTTTTATAAAGTTTTTATGCTCATTTCGTAGAGAATTTCTAACTCTACAAAATCGAGAAATTTTTGTTGAGAGATTCGTGTTAAGGAAAATTTTTACGATAAATTTATGTGGAAACTCATGTAGTTTTAAATGATCACTTTTGAGATCATAGAGCCACGAAATCAAATATTTTGCATTTTTATCATATGCTGAAGCTTCTTTTAGAAGATCTTCATGCTATTTTTGTAGAGAATTTTTAACTGTACAAAATGGTGAAATTTATTTTGAGGGATCATGTAAAGGCAAATTTTTATGATGAGCATATGTGAAAAAATTACCGTTTTTAAATGATGACTTTTGAGGTTAGCGATTACGAATGTTTTGTATTTTTATTCAAGTTACTTCAATTTTTCTGCAAAGTTTTTATGCTCATTTTATAGAGAATTTTCAACTCTACAAAATACAGAAACGTCTGTTTTTGGTTTATTTAAAAAGAAAGTTTTATAACAAATTTATGTGACAAAAATTATGCTTTTGAATGATTTTTGAATGATAACTTTCGAGAGTCATTTGAGCATACTACCTCAGGATTCGACCTACAGAGCTCGACCAATTGGCCACTTTGTTCAATTTTTAATTCTCTTTCGAATGAGTAGTTGCTCAAAAGGATTGAATATATCGTTCTTGAGTTATAGTCAAAATACTAAAACGTTGTAAGAGACACATGTTTTTGGAAAGGCTTGAGAGGTGTCGTGACTCAGCAACAAAACGATTACAAAAGCTGAAAAATTTGGATATGGATGTTATTTTCCATGGAGAATCGAATGAGAGTAGTTTGAAAGAAAAAAAAAATTGTTATGTTACGTCCATTCTTGATGCATCCAGTGAAGCTCTCTCAAACGATTTTTTTTTCGTATTAAGTAAATTTTTTTGAAATTTTAAAAACTTTTTTTTATTCTCTCCAGCACGTACTACTTTGAAGAATATTTGTCATTGAGTAAATAATTTCATTTGATAAAATTTTGCTAAAATTTAGATACTAACCATATCTTTTTATACTTTTTTATTTTCGTTCATAAATAGACAGCAATAACTACTACACCAATATTGTATAATATTGAGGAATCAATAATAAAACAAATGGATTATATTATAGAACGTCGTTATCATATTGATCAAGCTGAATTAATTATAGCTCATGCATTACGTGGTGAAGAAGAAGATATAAATATATTGAAATATATTAGCGAACGTAAACATTCCTGTCAATTATGTCCAAGGCGATTTAATGCATTAGTTCTTCGTAGCATGAGACGATCATCACCATTATATAATTATTATGTTAAACAATATAGTGAACGTTATATTGGAGAAATTAAATATTCTCAATATCCATCAGATTATATAGGACGTTTATTACGTGATACAAATTGTGTATTAACAAATAGTTTTAAACATCAACAGTCAAAACACAAACCAAAAAACAACAATGGCAAGGCCAATACCAATGACAATGCCAATGCCAATGACAATGATAATGATAATGACAATGATAATGACAATGACAATGATAATTCAACTGACGTTGAACCAATTCAATTTGTCAAATTTGAAATAGCACGACAATTAATTGAACATAATCATCAACAATTACAAATGAATATAGATCAAAATATTGAATGTCCTATTTGTTTTGAAATTCAAAAGCAATTAGAACCATTACATAATGATATAAGACATTCAATATGTAATCAATGTCGAATAAACCTGGATATATGTCCATTTTGCCGACGAAAATTATAAAATTCAGCAATTAATTGAATATAACTATATTGTTTTTATTACACATTCAATATTTCTTTTTTTATGTTTTAAAATATGCTTAATCAATAATTTTATGAAATGTATTTACAGTAAATAATTTCAATTAAGAAAATATTCTCCCCTCCCTCCTAACATCCCCTCAAAATTTGGTATTTTGTAGGAAACATCTAATTTGCAATAACTCGTAAGTTGAACAAAATCTGTATGTCTTCAGAATTGTAAAGCGTCGATTTTTTGCTACTCATTTTGAGAGGAGAGAAATCAACTAGTAATTCTTGCTGAATATGTTTCATCAACGAAGCATTCTAAAAGAATTCTATTTATGAGAAAGTCGTTCATCATACTCATCTCTATGAGCTATGATAGTGTGATCTTAGATTGATGTCGTCATTTCGAAGTTATAGGCCCAACTAGAGGGTAGAAATGAAACTGATTATACTCGACAAACTATTGTTTTCTATTAAACCTTTAGTTATAAACTTATTCATCATTATTTTTTTAATAAAATGAAGAAGGGAGTATAAGGTCCTAAATCGATTCCGATAAATTTTCTTTTCTTCTGAAAGCTTATTTTACAAAACACTTCTTGAGGCTATATTTAACATTTTTAGTGGAAAACGTTAGCTAAAAAGTCATTTTTTAGATGTTTTTTACTGCTTCTGCCTTCACTTACAGTCGATGCTGTGGCCCATGTGACTCATCGCTGTACTTGCTAGTATACACAGTAGCGATCACAAAATTTCATTAACTCTGTCTGAACTAAGATTCTTGTCGATACAATCTACGGATAAGTCCGTTATTTTTCTTATTCCAATGTCTCAAAAAAATCATTCTGAAATTTTCCATTCGTGCAAAAACATGCAATTTTTCACAATTCTATCATGACGAGGATAAAAAAATGGAAAGTTTGCCATTTTTTCTTTGAAAAACTGTGAGTTTCTAAGCTTTCATTTTTTTTCAGGTAAACTTCTGTTATAAGTTATAAAACTCTTAAAAGAATAAGAGCCTATCAAATCCATGATAACCCCAATTTCGAAAAATCAATCATAGTAAATCTCCTAAGGAAGCAGCAAAAAAATCGCACACAGCATTGACTATTATCTCATCACAAAAAACACTTGCTTAAAAAAAATTTTTGGCATATACTGGAGAAATTGTTTCCAATTAATCATGGATGAACATAAAGTAACAATCAATTTATAGAGCATGAAAGTCATTTTAAATACATATCCTCGTGGAAAAAAATAGTTGCACACAGTATTTTTAAGATATTTTTCTTACGAAAATATACATTTACAAAAGTGATCACATATTCTGATAGCGCTTGGAATTCTCTACAATTCTGTATATTTAAATCTGGTCTTGCATTTATTTGCTGAAAAATACATTGAGTACAATGACAGCCCCCTCATTGTCAGATTCCCACGAACTGCATTTTGTTACTATTTCTTCAACAGGAAGAACTGGTGCATTTGGGTATAATTTGGGTTCATAAAGTTTTCTAATTTGGATACCAATATTTGTTCCCAAATCAATATATATATAACGGCAATCATCAAGAACTTTTTGTCTGTCTTGTTCGATGAGTTTAGGCAATAAGCCATTATTTTTGGGGATAGCAGTCAGAAAAGCAATAATTATTAGGAGTACGACGACAATTAATAAATGAAAGCAGTTACAAAACCAATGTGATATTCGGAATCTATGAAAAAAACTGCATCGAATGATATATGATTCAATGTGTTTTGGAAAAACTAGTTTTCGTTCAAAATTTTGGGCAAAATTTTGAGGAAGACTTTTTGTCGGTCAGCACCAAATTTAGAGGTACATTTTGAAGGACTTGACATAGAATTTAAATCTCTCGGCTGTCGGCATCTTAAACTGGTTCCCTATCAATCCTGAGAGGTTCAGGATTCTAGCTGGAGCGGATCAAAAGTTGACTATTTTCTAATAGTCGACATCTGCTGAGTTACAAAATGATGTTTGAGAAGATAATGGCTGACATATACACGTCAGTTATTCGGACACATATATCTCACAAAGATCTTCCTTGAGCAGCAGAAACGTATGAATCAGCACGTTGCCTTCTGCCCAGTTATAAAATCATCCCTGACGAGAAAATATTCGACATCTACACCTCCGTTATTGAAGTATATATATCTATCGGATATATTGATCGAGCTAAAGATGCATATGAATCGACACGTCGGCTTCTACTCAGTTACAAAAAAATGTTTGACAAGAAACTGCAGCACATTTATACCTCAGCAATTGATATGCATATGTCTCACAGAGCTTTTTCTCAAGCTGCAGAAACGTATGAATCAGCAAGTCGTCTTCAACCAAGGGGGAAACACGTGATAGAAATCAGTCAAAAATCACCCAAAACCAATTGATTTTTAATGATCCTCTGTGATTTCCAATGGCTTTTAGTCATTTCCAGTCACTTTTCGTTTGGCGAAAATCGGAGAAACCCGAAAATCAGCTGTGCCTTTGTCTTCAACCCAGTTATTAATGTTTTTAAAAAGAAAGATGACTGAGCAGGACGCTTATGACGTTCTAACGAAAGTGACAGAGACCTGCTGTTTCTAGCTTGGAAGGAGGAGATCATGGGAGACAAACCTATGAAAAAAGAAAGCTTTTCCAATGTGTTTTCCAATTTAATTCTACCGAAACAAAGTTGGGAAAACACTCAACTTTTTCGAAAGCACAGTTTTTCTCTGTTCTCCACTGATCAAGACCATTGAACAGTCCTCTTTCCAAATATGCAAGAACCAAGTTTCTATTATGCAAGGATCCAGAGATACCGGCGTTTTCCGACGACCTTTCAACAAGTACAGTTTCCGTTACATAAGGGAGAATAAACTTGAAATAAAGGTTATCGAGTATGCTGAACACCGTGATGATGTTTATTTTAAGTTTGGAAGCTTTCTTGTTTGGAGTATTGCAGTTGAGTTGAAGGCGTTACTTTTTAAAGTTTCTTCTTTTTGCTGTTCTTTTGCCAGTTTTTGATTGAGAAACCGTAGCACAAGTTCGCTTTATTACATGAAATCATTATTTGTAAATAGTGTAAAGACAAAACAAAATCACTACTCTTCATCGACCTGTTTATATTCTGACTCTGTCTCCCTCAAGTAAGTTCGGTTCAATATTTCTTTCACCAACGAATCTCCCTCTTTAAACGTTTGTTCAACCTTTACATGATCAAAAAAGCTTCTTGCCAACTCTTGTCTTTGCCGTGTATATTTATTGACACAAAAGAAAAAACAGAAAAATAAAGACAGAAGGAATAATAAAAGATGTTACATGAACTGTGTCAAAGGGTGTACATCAAAAAGATAAGGGCTTATAATAACAACAAAAGTTGTGGTAGACATACACCTGATAGAAAAGTGATATAACAAATAATAATGATAAAGAAATTGTCTGATGTTTGTATGTGGGTAAAAGAGTAAAAAAAAGAATTCATAACAATAAAAGAGCAGAACCTGCACATAAATGTTTAAAGCTACCTGGTTTAACAGATTAAACGTAAGAGTTTCTTTTGTCGAAAAAAAAGTCGAAATAATTTATTTAATAAAGAACATAGAAAAATTTAGTACGTGATTGAGAAATTTTAAATCCTAAATGGCAATTTCTGCGTATTATAACGTTCATCATCCAACAAAATCAGTTCTGCTTTACACGATGTTGAGTGTCGTTGAATAGTTTTGATCGATTCTTTGTATACTTTAGAAATATGTTCACCGTAAATAAGGTCAATTGAACAATAAATGCCATGCAAAATCAAATGTGAAATTACGGTCATATCATGCCCTTCGATATCACTTTTCATCATTATCCGTGACGCCGGAGATCCGGGGGGTCTTTTTCGGTTGTGAATTTCACGTTTCCACCACGAAACAAGATCAATGGCTTGTATCGTTACATTTTTTTTTCTTTTATGAAAGGAAAGACTTGCTCCCGAATCATAATGTCGTTCTTGTCCCCATGAAGTGAAAAATGTCACATTACCATCAATGGTACTAACAGCTGTGGATGTATAAATCTTGACTTTCCAATTACGTTGCCAACAGTACTTTTCAAATTTTTTAAGATATGCAGTATGGATAGGATTTGCTTCAAAACCAACAGAACAAACTTGTGCTGAATGGTTTCCAAATATTTTTTGAAACAGTGGAAGAACTGGTGAATTTGGGTATAATTTGGGTTCATAAAGTTTTCTAATTTGGATACCAATATTTGTTCCCAAATCAATATATATATAACGGCAATCATCAAGAACATTTTGTCTGTCTTGTTCGATGCGTTTATGCAATAAGCCATTATTTTTGGGGATAGCAGTCAGAAAAGCAATAATTATTAGGAGTACGACGACAATTAATAAATGAAAGCAGTTATAATGTGTAACAGAATTTGTATTTTGAGTATTCATGACTTCTAACAAGTTTTACCAAAACTCAAGTGCTGAATTAGGATTACTATCCTGGAAACCGTAATGGTATTTTCAATTAAAATTGCTACAATACTGCTATAACGTGCTACTTCTGAAACTGGCTACATTACCTGTTTAATATGAAAGCTAAACATCTAATTCATGGTTAAAAGGTAAGTCAATCGATCCGCCCCAAAACGTATTGTAGTTATATCACTCCATGGCTGAATGAATCTACTGTTTGAAATAGACAATAAGATATAAACCACCTTTATCATAATGAAAATAGCTATTTTCCGTTAGAGACGTTTCGTCTTTATTCAAAAGACATTATCAATCAAATGTGACAAACGTTAGTTGATTCTGAAGATAGAAAACAAAAAATAAAAATAAAAATTTTCAAGCATGTAGAACACAACAGAAAAGAACAGATAGATCACAACGAACATTCTCTCTTTCTTCTTCTCCGTTCAGCTCTGTTCATATGTCCTTAAAATACTTTGAGGTCAAAACTTTTTTGTGAATAAATCGTTCTTTTATTTTGTTTTGTATGAATATCTATCAATAAGCTCTCTTTAATAGTTCTTTTTATAAGATGTGATTTAACTGCAAGAATTTCTGGATTCCAATTCGTACGATGACATGTTTCCGTACAATGAACTGCTATCTTAGAAAATCCTGTTCCATAAAATGCTTTCTGATGTTCTTCTTTCCTTATTGTTACTCCTCTCGCTGTTTGCCCTATATAACTATGTATACATCCACAACAATCATATTTGTAAACTACACTCTTGGAATCCTGTGTCTCCCGAATTGTTTTGTTAAATACTGAAGATAGTGTATGTACCGCTTTAAACCCAAAAGTCACATTTTTAAGTGGATTTTGGAGCAGATGTTTAATTTTATTTGCCAGGATTGATGAGCATATACTATAATAAGGAAGTGACATGTAACATTGTCTAGTGTTTGACGGTTGAACGGGCTTATGTATGTTCTTATTCAATTTAATCCCTCGTATCGTCTTCTTAACAATATTTAACGGATAACCATTAACACAAAAGATTCGTGTATAATATCGTAGTTCTCTTTCAAATAGTTCGTTGGTAGAACAAATCCGTTTTGCCCTGATACATAAGCATTTGATCAAGTTTATTTTATATTTTCAAGGTTGGTTACTTGTCCAATTTCACCTTAAATGATGATTCTACTGTTTGAATCTTCTATTCTTTACCTTTAAAAATCGTAGCAAATCGTCCGATTTGTTATCGGGCTGAAAATAAGAGAAACAAACTACATATTCTGATTCGTAATTTGACGAGGATTCTTAATATGCTACCCATTTTCTTGGATAACTCTTAGTTTTCGAGAGAGAAACGAAAAACTGTTTTTACGTAGAAAGTACCCAGACAAAAATATTTTGAGAAAAGATATAGTGCGATATATCCGATATGAAAAAAAGTAAAGTGTAGAAATTGTTAGCAGTTATTTTCGGATATATTCAACTGTGTCGTCATCTTGGACATATCATGATATACCTATCAGTCGATGATTCATTAAGGCTATAGCCAACTGTATTCAAACATGAGGACACAGTTGGATACATACTTGCTACTCTTTCGAAGTACCGTAGGTAACGGCCCCATCCCTAAATTTCTCCCCGAAGTTGACTGTAATGTATTCGTGTACTTGTAGCTGAACGGATGGCTGATTACTACTTTAATCATCCGTCAGATAACAAGTGTTTTAAGTTTATAAAAAATTAGATTTTGACACCTTTAACACTAGAACGCCCGTGGTTGACCTTTTTCTGATTTTTATCCCTAATAAAACAAATACTATCGTTTCAGAAAAAAAAATTCCTTACTATACCAAACGATAGACAATTTAATTCTCTACAAGTTTGTATATTCATTTTTAAGATTCATCTTTGATGTTTAGCACAGTAATAATATGACCGCTTTGGGCGTTCTAGGTCATGAAAATTTCCGGGCATTCTAGTGTTAATCGATTTTTGGCCAGTTTAATCCATCATGTTTTCTCAACATTCTCGAAGACATGAAAAATTTATCTTGATCTGAAATATTGCAGTTTATAATTTAAGATTTGAAATCGAATAAACACGATTTTCGTTAAGTGAGTGTCTTATAAAAATTCGTTCAGGTTGTGTATACTTTCACGAGATACACAGGATTTTCTTGTTGGCAGAATTATTTGTTAAATATACTCAGATATGTGTTTTGTGTCTTTGTGTTTAAAAGTCCTTAGAAGCCATTGCAAATACCTGACCTTGGATAGTACTTAATCGACGTTCAGCGAATGTGATTTCAATAATATAAGCAAAACAGATGCTTTGAGTAGTCCTGAGTAGAGTGTTTGGGTCTTGATTACGATTGTGAAAACATCATATTTCAAACCGAGCCGTTGTTCCCGTTTCAATCGGTAAGCTGCCGCTGTGAGTTGTACGCATCTATTTGTTGCTAATAGAAAAGCTCACTGGCGTACACAAACACAACAACAACAATCAATACCTTCAGTGTGTAATACTGATACAACAACCTCAACACAAATAAGAACTGAATTACGGAAAAAAGAAGGAGCCCAATGAAGACGTGCAAACCGCAAAATTAAAAGCTGACAATGAACATTTAATGAATGTCATCAGGCAATTAGAAGATGATAATAAAAAACTAAAAACAAAAATTTCTTCGTCATTACCGTCATCTGAAATAAAAAAGTGTGGAACTTCAAATTCTCCAGCACCATTGCCGCCATCAAGAATATTATTCAATAATTTAAGCCCACTGGCAAAACAGCGAGCTACGACTAGAATGATGACACAAAAAGAAGATTTGCCTAGGGGATCCATAACAAGTATTCGCGATAGATTTGGAATAAATGTGAGTTATTTAGTATTCTCTATACCTTTGTATTAATTGTTCGTGTTTTCAGCTATCAAATCAAAATAGATCATCACAAACAAAAATAAAACCTTTAGATCAAACTATTGAAGAATTCTATATAATGATGATATTAGTCGCTTAAGTCCGGATAAGAAAAAAATGATTGATAGGAAACAAATTCATTTTTCATTAAGTCATTTAGTCAATGTTCATCAACGCTTTATTGTTGAAACAAATTATAAATGTTCTTATTCAACTTTTACACGTCATATACCACATCATATTATTACTCCAAAACCATCTGATTGGGGCATTTGTTTATGTATAGTTTGTTTAAATTCTCAACTAAAAATTGAAAAATTATTACAATCAAAATCACACCGACTCAACTTGTACCATTAAGACATAACGGATGTGCTATGTCACGAGTATGCTAGTACAGACAAAGGGAAAGATTTAACTTAAGGGTAAAAACTTAAAAAGTATAAAAATCAATAGAGCAGCTTGTTTAATGTGCATATTGTTACTCTTTAGTTGTTTATCATCGACATAAATTCTCGAACGTCGATGACAAATAACGAAAGGGGTAAAATATGCATATCAAATAATCTCCTGTAATAATCTTTGTTTCATAAGAGGAGAGAAATTAAATAAACACACAAAAGAAGAGAACTGGTAGAGAGTTATCGCGAAATA